TTTCAAAAACCTATAGGAAAGTCTATAGGTTTCCTATAAGAAATAACTAAAGGTTTCCTATAGGACATTTCCGTAAGGGATCATCCATGAGATCCAGAACAATATCCAGGATGGTGAGCAAACACATATACCACTCGCTTTGAGATAATTTCGAGTAAGTGCGATCACGTCGTGTGATCATGCCCTCTTTAGTGCTTACAAGAGCAGCATACCATAATCTAAACATGCAATGAGAAGTACCCTATCATGCCAACACTGGGTTTGGGAAGAATTGCTGGGATAATTACATCCAGCAAAATTCCACCATTGCGACGGAAAGATATTATACAGGGTGGTTGGGGTTCTCAACTCCAGCATTTATTTCAGCGTAGACTAACTTTATACTTTTCCTTAATAGAAAGCTTGCTGGATAAAACTCCCTTCTTGGTGTCACAGAAAGAATGATTTTTTTGGCGCTTTCAACTTGGTCTTTTTGAAGTTCCGTTCCTACTAAACATGGACACGGCATGAGTGATCATTTATCTCATGAAGTCACGCATAGGGGTAGGGGTCGAATGAATTCGATCGAATTCTCCTCGAACTTTGAGTCTCCTATGCTTTATATCATAGATTCACCGGAGGCAAGACTTTTTCGGCCTCGCCCATTCTAACGACTTCGTGTTCAGAGGCACACGCTTTCCCTCGACACAATTCTGCAGAATAGTGCAGTCAGGGTTTCCTAAAGGGTTAGAGTTGCCGAGGAGAGGGGATATAGGATCCAGACAGCTGAGTTGGGGTGGGGGGTGGCGGAGAAGCACAGAAAGGGGTATAGAGTGAAAAGTATAGAAAAGATTCCTAGAGAGGGGTGGGGGTTGAGTCGTGGGAACACTGGTCTTGATCGGGGATCGCTATGGAAGGTAAGTTACTCGCTAAGGAGGATTCTGACCAATTGCTATTTACCCCACCCTCCCTTCTCGCTCCCTCCACTGCATTATTCATCTAAAGGGATACACTGGTTGATCATGTCGATGAGAGGGAAATTTTTACAGATTCTGGGGTTAAAGGAGAGGAATTTATGAGGCTGTTATTAATACAATTCCTTCCCAACAGGACTTGAATGGCACCAATAAATCACAGGTGCTTCCAATCATAGGCGTAAAGGTGTATATTTTACGTCTTGGAATCACTTGGGTTTTTGTGGCTTGTAAGATTCGAAAATTTGCGTTTAAACGGAATGTAGGTATTTGAATCGGTGCTTCCTCATCAACATCTCGTTGATATTAAGCATGTGCGAAGAATTACAAAGATGCCCACGAGAAAGGGGGACGCTTAACAAAAAGGAAGGGCGAATATGAACTAATTGTACAAAAGAAACACTTGTAAGCTGGACTTTTGGTTTGGTCTGTTTGGTCTTCGCCTCGCTATTTCCCATGTTGATTGAGCTTTGTGGCACCCATCTTGCAATGGAGTGACTGAGTGAGGCCCGTCTTGTACCTTCGTTGCCTGCATTTGCCTTAAATTGATCCTCATTTGTCATGCCGGTCGTCTCTCGGGGCAGGGAATTTACTTGCCACTTCCAAATGAGGTGCTGAGCTGGTTCCCGGGGGAACCGACGAGACATTTGTATGCGGGATATGTAGACAGGCGAGAGAATGGAAGCGGAGAGCTAGATGGAACGACAGAGGATAAGAGGATATGAATGAGGGCATGAAGAGATGATCGATGACATGAGGGAACGAACTGCGTATGTTATCGGTATTGGGCAGTATTTTGGTAAATGTAGCTCGTTCAATCGTTTGACGGATAAAAAATTTGAAGATTAGCAAGTTACACGAGCACCCTGGATTTTAAGAAGTTTATATTAGTTACATTTTTAATTATTGATTATTCCCTGTTGCACTTTAGTGATTTTCCTCACTTTTTTCATTTACTAAATGTCTCCCTTGTCTGTTACACGTGCAGTTTTTTATATTTATTTATCAGTTATCATCTCTGCCTGGCCCATGATATGCAAGAAAGGGTTGACTTCGCATAGGCGAATTTCATCTTTCATCTCAAGCAGCTAACTATTAACCTGACTGAGAAAGTGACATTCAATGACATGCTAGTCGGCGTAATTTGAAAAATTTGTAGTTTTCATCATTTTTTATTTGGATCCATCTGCAGTCCTGCATGTGCTGACCCGGATCGGGGCCGAGAGGGCCGCGCTGGAGCAGAGGACGGCCGACAAGAACTTCACATACGAAGTGACGAAGCGAGAGAAGGCGGCTCTGAAGGAAGGCGAGTACGAGACTCAATGCCTCGTGTGCAACGTCTCATGCCATTTTCCCTGCAAGGTGAAGAATTCGAGAAAGGCGGAATGCGAGATCATGGAGGCCGGTCGCTGCAAGGCGTGTCGCTGCGACGCCGCCAAGCACTTCAACAGCCCCCACCGCTTCCAGACTTCGAAGGAGAGGAGGACGCTCAAGGACCTGAAGCACTCACACAGAGCAAAGACGAGGCGAAATGAGTCCCTGCTGGAAATCCTGAAGCGGAAATACGAGAGGGGCCGAAACGAAATGATGAATCTCGTGCTGGAAGCTCACGAGAAACTCTGTAAATTGGAGCCGATGTCCATTTCTGAATATATGGAAATTTTGATTTCCTCGGAGAATAAACAAACGAGACTCGGCTGGGTGGACAGAATCAGAATCCTCCAAGAAATTCAAGACCTAATGGGAATGGGGCATGCCGAAAATGAAATTGTCAACGTCATTGAATCTGGCATTGAGAAACAGGTCGGTAATCACGCGGGCAATCCCGAGGTAAACAGTGGTACATTACAAATAATTTCTTCAACTGGGTCTTATAATTGAACTGGTCAGCCGAGTGTCCCTTGTCTATCACGCAGGTGAAGGAGCAAGAGCCCTTCGCTTCCAGAGCTGCGATGGATGATGACCTCATAAAGGGCAGAAACCTCACAAAAGTAAGCGTTTGGATTTTTCAGTCGTCTGGTTTTTCAGAGAGGGTAATGAATACAAATGAATAGCAAAAATAAATTCAAATATTCCCATTTCCGGGGAAGTTCCCAGGTATTGTCCTTCACAAGTAAAATGACTTTCACTTCTGTCACTTCTACGGGCGGTCGCACTCGTAGCACGATGAGGATTCAACTTCTATTTCCTTGTATAGGTCCCGAAAAAGATTGTGTTTTCGTTTCTCGTTTGAGTCAACAATATGAGATGCTCTGTTTTAATGGACTGAGAGGATTAGAGACTGATTGAATCTAACTTTTCTTTAAGGAATTCCATCAAAACGCATTGATTCTAGGGAATGCTAAACTCCTTGATCCTCCTAGGTCATATCGCTAAGGTAATATTTCGGCATCGTTATTTTGAAGCATGTGCCAATGTGAACCAAACAAGTAAGATGTAAGGGGGTGATGGTTAGACGTTGAGGTACTGAACCTAACCCCAGTAGCACATAACATTGAATCAACATTGATTCCATGTTGTTTCAATCCCTTACGAAAATGCCATATGGGAATCCAAAAGGTTCCCTATAGGGCCTATACGGAACCCTATAGGGTTCCGTTTGAAGTTCTCCTCTTGGCCACTAGATGGAGGTATTGGGTTCTCGCATTTCTCAAAGGACACAAAAGTGCCCTCCTTTTACCAATGGAATCATCTCTCACAAGAGAGTTTTGTACATCCCCAAATGTCTCGCCTTGCCTCATTGTAGCAATCAATAAACTTCGACATTTTCTTTATTGTCATCCCCATCTTCCAGATAGAATCATGGAGTCCAGACCAGAAATATGTTCATATTCCTTTTGAAAACAACGTACGAGAAGAAGTGGTCTTCATCCGAAAGGAGTTTCAGTAACGAAACGTTATTCGTAGTTTATGTCCACCATGTCTTTAGGCTAGAGAGACGAATTATATTCCTCGTTGCCGAAGGAAGTGGACGCGTTATCCTGCGGATTCCAGCGACATGTGCGGGCATAGACAGTAGTAGTATTAGAAACGCAAGTATCCTTTACACGGGAAATCCCCTAATCGGTAATTGATTTGCACCAAAATGCTGCGCCAATATTTACCTAGTCTGCCATTCCCGTTGTAATGCTAGGGTTTCGAAACCAAAAAAATCCTCCCCGAATCCTAAGGTCAGGAGTCTTATACGACCATATAGGGATCCTAAAGCATCCTATGGGCTTTTCGTGTTTCAAAACCTATAAGGAGGTCTACAGGTATAGGTTTCCTATAGGACATTTCCGTAAGGGATGTTATGTGCTACCAATATGACTATTAAATTTCACAAAATAATGAATGTTGGTATGACTGCTCGTGAGTGAGAGGAAAGCTGACGCCAAGTTGCCTCATGTAGGTCTACTTCCTTCCTCAGAATTCCGCATTGGAGTGCAAGATCTGCGAGGAGGGCTTCAGAGCCGAGGGCGACCGAGTCCCCCGCCTCTTGCCATGCGGCCACACGCTCTGCCATTCTTGCCTGGGGATGCTCGCTCGAGGGGGTACTTCCGTTCTTTGCCCGTTCGACCGATCGGCCGCTACGATGGGTGAGGTCTTGCAGGGATGTCGCCAAGGGGGGAAAGTTAAGGCCCTAATGCCGAAACCTCCTTCAGTTAAAGCTTCTTTAACAATACTTGTATTATTATGTAGGAAAATGAGCGCTTTAGTTTGAAGACCTCTTTATCTCGCCTAAATAAGGATTGTGCATCCTGACTTTGTCCGCCTTATCCAAATGTGACTTCAAAGTGACTGTCTTTACTTTGAGGACACCCATATCATCATGAGGACGTGTATGTCAATTTTTCCGCTCAAAAGTGACCTCAAGGTAGGATTCCGCTTAACAAGTCTGGCCACTTGAAATAATAAAATGAGACGAGGAACGTGCTTTCTGTCAAAAAAAAAAATTGGAAAAATAGTATTAATTCCCTTCCAGAAATTAATTTCGACCATGTAGGGTTAGATGATCCCTCTGGCCTCATGCTCTGCTCCCTGTGATTCTTAATTCCTAGAAAACAGCAGTAATTGAAACACTTACACTCCGTTGCCATATCATGCTGATAAGCCAATTCCTTTCGAATCTAATTGGATGGGATCCCAGCTGATCTCCATCCTAAATTCTGTGCACCAAGCGCTCCATTCTCTTAATCTTAGGAGAGGCATGACTGATGAACAGCGAGATTGAAAACTCTTTGGTACTTTCCCTCAGGACCAGATGGAGTCAACGGCCTGAAGAAGAACTTTGCCCTTCTGGAGCTCATCCCGACAGGAAATCTTGGATCATGAGTTTAGTGCAAACCTGCTGAAATTTTGCAGGGGCTTAAAAAATAACACTATCGAAGAAAACGCGATTCGGAGTTGTTGTGTAGGGCCGAAAACTTATTGACGTATCATTTAAGATGGTGATAAGTACTTTTTAAATTAAATGTTTGATTGATGCAAGGGATTGGTATATGATTGATACACAAGACGAGATATTTATCGTGAAATACATTAAGAGAAAAGTTGAAATGGGCGATAAAGGATATGAAAGCCAAAGGAAGGCGACGTCTCCTGTGGCCTTTAATTTCTTGCAGAATAAAAGTATCCTGAAGATTAGTGAGGTGCGATGAAGTAGGCCTTTCCGACTACACGTTATGGCATGCTTCAGACACCTGTTAGCGCTAAGTAAGAATGGCGAACACGAACGAACATTTGCTCAAATCTTATATGAAGTAATGTGAAAACCATTTTTCACAAGCTTTCCCTTTCTTCTACCTCAAACACACCTCTCCCCCTTACAGGACTCACTAAGGTTAGGCCTCGGCGTAACCGACAGACGGTCAGGCCAAAGCATACCATTTTTTTTCGTTCAAATGAAACTCAATCCTCGACTTACTATTAGGCCTGTCAGGATTATTCACTGGTCGTCAAGACATCTTGTCGAGGACGTGTAACGTTAGGCCAATCGCAGGCCTATTAAATCTCTCTCGACCCATTTCAGAGAGGATGTGTAACTTTACATTGATTAGAGGCCTGTTTCAAGTTTTATGTTGCATTTCAGTTGGACGTAGAACGTTAGACTTATATGGAGTTCCTCGAACTATCTCGAACCGGTCTGAGGAGAGAATGCCTCAAGGAACCATGATATCGATGGTGCGCGCCATCCAAAAAATTTAGGGATATCCGGATAAGGTATCTCTATATCCCATCATATCGATCAGCCACTGCTAGCTACAGTCTCAAACTCAGCTCATCTCTTAAACTCAGTACGAAAATGTCGCATACAAAGAAACAGAAAATCGAGACACTGATACTAAGGCCGAAGAAGTCATGAATCTGACATAACTCCGGCACGATATCCGGCAACCCTGGGAAACAGGACCGAAACCATCGCGTTAAGCTTAAATGATCGACAATAAGTTTTCATTTTTCTGCAGGGAAATGGCGCACTACAGACACTAAACAGGGCACTTTTTTGTCATCTACAAGTTAATATCTTTCCTTTGGTTGTATCTTTCCTCTGGAAACCCCCTAGGAGGAGAAAAAAAAATACTCCAATGAAATTCACATACTCTAAACGCGAGATGAAGTGTTCTCCATAACCCCGGGGAGAAGGAATTTCGAATTTGCTGAAGCCGAGAGAGGAAGAAGCAAGCCAAATTTCATTATTTTTTATGCTTTTTATGCGAGATGTATACAAGGCAGTTGAGTTTTGTTACGGGAAAGGGTTGAAGAAAGGTAAAAGGCGCTACTGCGCCAATTGGTGAAGTTTAAGTCTCAAACGTGTATCTTGACAGCCACTTCTCATTTTCTCGTTTACTTTTTTTTTTCCAACTTCAGCAAAAATACCGCAGCACAATCCTGCTGTTCATCCTTAGTGCACTCTGACTGAGGTCTGGACGCATACAGTAACATGCATTTTTCCAGCATTGGCACACAGCACGATAGCATCCAACTTTGTCCACCACGATTTTGACAAGCATAGGCTCCTGATCCTTTGCAAGTCAAAGTATTTTGCATTTTATTGAGGCTGAAAATTGGCAGTGTCATTTGAAAAATTCAAGTTTTTACTTTGAAGTCAAGGGTGGGGCGAATACAGAGTATAGACGAGAAGGAAAGGGATAATGGGAAATATCAATATGAGGTCCAAAAGCTGTATTGTTAGAAAGGTTGAAAGTGGCTTCTCTTGTTTAATGTCCTCCAATGATCCTGATATATAGAGTCTAGGGCAGGGGAGGATGGCTGAGGGCGGTGTAGAAGGAGTCCTCTCCGCTCCATCTCCCTCCAGAGATACATTCGGTTTTGTGCCGCGAGATGAGTTCCACCATCGACGATGAATAGGGTCCGGATGGCCCGAGAGATCCCTTCTACCACCCACGTGTCCTCCAATCCCACACACATCACTTGGGAACTCTCACAACCTCGGAAATCCTTCGGATGGTGGATCTGTAAACTTTCACTTACTATTGACCCACTCGCTTTCATCGACCTGAGAGTTTCATTGAAGATCTTCTGGATCTCTTCATCCGAGATCAGCACCACGACGTCCTCCTTAGAAGTAGGATGAAATAATGATGCAATAACCCCTGACTCAAGGCTGCATGGGAAATATTAAACCTGCTCTCAAGAGATGATTGCAAAATACCATGTCTCATGTTGCTGAGGAAAAGTAATACATAAAAGTAATACATAAAAGTAATAAGTAATAAAGGAGCAGATGCGAACTGATGCGCATACTGATATTTCAGTTGATGATCAATATGTTCGATTTATGTATATATACGGTGTGGTAATCAAGTTTTTCAAAAAAAAAATTGGAGACTGAACAAGGTCACAAAGGGCACAAAGTTAAAACTTTTCATGATGAAAGAAGAAAAGCGCACTTTTTAAGGTGTCACTCGTTCATTTGCAACATTAGCAATTTGTAACGACTGACTTTAAAGTTCATTTAGTCATATTTTCATTGATTTTCAGACTGTTCCTATCAGTATCGTTAACATATTCTATCCCTCGTTTTATTTTATTTTCAGATGAGTGATAACTCAGCACCTGGACGAAAGTGATTGAAATACTGCACCTCAATCTGGAAGAAATAGTACAATTCCGTGGATGACGGAATACGAGTGTTTTTTCCTCATGTGCTGAGTGTAAAGACCTTTTAGGACAAATTTCAATATAAATAAGGAATCTCCAGGAGCAGAGACGGTCGCAAAGCTCCGTGAGAAATCACATGAAAGTTTTCTGTATCGTCCTGGTTTTAAATGTCCTTGTATGCAAGGAAAGGACGCTGTTTTGGTAGGTTTTGCTTTCTCATCAATGTCTTTTAGAAAGGATGAGGATGAAATTTAAATTCGGAAGTTTATTATCTAGAAAATGTTGCGGAAAACAGTCAGAATAAGGATGTGTCAATCTCATTGTGTCAAGTATTGTCTTTGGATGACTTACGCTAGGAAGTTGAGGTATTACAGTATGTTATTATCAATGTTCACACATGTTCATTCATTCTATATTCTTCGTTTCGTTTATAATGAGGTTTTTCAGTAGGGAAATTTATGCTTGCATTAAGAAGATCAGTGCCGGTAATGCTTGGGATGAAGGTGCTACTGACGATTACATTGCTGGTAAAAATGGGAGAGCTTGTGGAGTACGAGCCAGTGCCAGGGGGACCGCAGGTGTTACTCTCTGAATCAATTAAATTGTTGCAATCAGATGTCCACAACGATTCAGTTAAGTGTTAAGTTCCGACCTCCCCACCCCCTCATGGCCGTATTCGTACTTACCACCTGTAATTCTTCCGTACTTTTGCACGGTTTACCTAGGAGTATCCTTTGTATTTAATTTAGCTGGGCAACGTCGTGAACCCTTACTTCCCCAAGAATAACGACTGCGTTGTTCGCACCACGTATTCAAAGACACTGTTTCTCTGATGTATTGTGCGCTCGCTTCGCTCAAATCTCTGTACACCTGTGGGATGCCTTGGTCATCTTCAAAGTGAGGGAAGTATCGCACTAACATCATTCACTCATCGAAGTATTCGTGTTCCCTGTCATTCACTTCTTCGTCCTCCTGGCTAAAAAGTTTCGAGAGCAGCATCCACCTCATTTTTAAATTCTCCACGTGAGATGCCGCCATGTCCGACGAAAGGCGTCGAGACCTGCCGATGCGTACTGGAGCGCCATAATCACATCACAGACGGTGCGCGACGGCTTGAATGCAATGTGCTGCTGCATGCAGTACTTATCATGCCTTGCGGCATCTACAGGATCAGAGGTGAGACGATGAATGATCCTGACAACATAATTTCTTCTCCTTTTGTACCTTGGATTCCCACGAGTACGATATTCCTCAATAATTTACCTAAGGATGCAGTATGGAATTGAAAGCTCTGGTGAAATGGGGGTCTGTGGCAATACTTTTCGAGATTCCCTGACACCGTGATTGCTTCCCCATTATCGGATACCATTTCTCTTTCCACCTCAAACCCATCAATCTTGAAAACGAAGATTGCTGCACGACTGCACGAAGTCGGTGGTAGTTCAGTGAAATTAAGGCATGTCTCTTGATCCGAAATATCTCTATCTCCGATGTCTTCATGAGCATCTTCTGCAAAACGAACTTGAGCGTGTCAGCAGGCCAAGAATTGCGAAGAATGTCCGGAAACACCTGCGTCAGTACGGCCGAACGAAGCTCCTATTTGACCGCGTATTTTACAACATAGTCCATAACTTTTTGTCGGTCAAGAGAGAATTGCAGGTCGACATTAGCGCGTCACGTCTCCAACATTTTGCGGATATGAGTGCTGATATGTGAATCGTTCCTTCTCGTGATCGGTCCAACGCTATTTTCCCATTTACCTTGTTCACCACGAGTTCACCAGGACACTTCTTCCCCGCCCCTTCTTCGACTGGACAATTCGTTATTTGAAAGGCTTTCGTCGAAACGTCCAGTCAAAGAACTGTCGGTCGAGGAAGCATATTTTTAAGTGACATGGGACCGCGGTCATTCTGTTGCGAATCTGTCATTCTGTCCTTGGTGAAACTGACCGGGAAGGAATGAGGTATCGTTCACATCACCTGTCCTCTCATCTTCTAAAACCTGATCAGTTTGTCCGGTCCTTCCAGATCTAGCTCCATGACCATCAAATAGTATAAGCACCACAGTTTCTGGCCGGTTTCCAGTTGTTAGCGAGTGAGGCTTAAATCCAGCATAATAGGTTAATCTGGCGGTTTTCAAGCATTCTATCAACATCTTCCCATACGAGGACCTATTATTAGTGTTGCCAGGTGTGCGCATGGGTTGTCCACTTCCTATTGGAGTCGTATCAGCTTGGCCACCTTAAGGAAATGTCCTATAGGAAACCTATTGTTATTTCTTATAGGAAACCCATAAACTTTGCTATAGGTTTTTGAAACACAAAAAACCTATAGGATCCTTTAGGATCCTATAGGATCCCTATAGGGTCTCATAGGTCTCCTGACCTATAGGATTCGGGGAGGATATTTTGGGTTTCGAAACCCAGGCATTACGATGGAAATGCCGACCAGGGTTAATATTGACACAGCATTTCGGTGCAAATCAAAAAACCTATGAGGGGTTCTTCCATAGTAGGGACACATGCATTACCAATACCAGTACTGCGGGGATCTGCATAATTTATGGCCCGGCCCCACATACGTCGCTGTATTGCACGTCTAATTCCTTCGGTATGGAGAAGTGGTATTCTTCCCTCGACCTAAGGAAATAGAAGAAAGAACCTGCGCGAACGTCTCTTTACTGAAACTCCATTTGGATAAGGTCTTCTCAGTTTCGAACGTGGTTTTCAAAAGGAATAAGGGCAAATTTCTTCATGGGACTCCATGATTCTATCTGGAAGATGAGGATGACAAATAAGGAACAGTCGAAGTTTATTGATTGCTACAATGAGGCAAGGCGAGACATTTGGGGACGTACTGTACAAAACTCTCTTGTGAGAGATGATTCCTTTGGTAAGGGGAGGGCACTTTTGTGCACTTTGAGAAATGTGAGAACACAGTACTTCCATCTAGTGGCCTATAGGAGAACTTCAAACGGAACCCTATAGGCCTATAGGATTCCGTATAAGACCTATAGGGAACCCTATAGATTCTATAGGGAACCCTATAGGTTCTATAGGGAACTCTATTGGTCCCAAACTGAACTCTATAGGGGGATCTATTGGTTCTATCGGGAACTCTATTGGTCCCAAACTGAACTCTATAGGGCATATAGGATTCTATAGGATTCTCATAGGATTCCTATATATTCCTAAAGGAATATATAGGAATATATAGCACTAAACTGCTCGTGCGTTTTCTAATTAATTTGTACGAATGAAAAATCTGCCTTTGGCGCTAAGAGGAAAGAGTTAAAGCTTAAGAGTTGGCTGATTATGCTGATTTACTATGACCGTGTTAATTCTTTTTTGCAGGTGGAATCACGTACCTTCCCAACGGGAATGAATACGGTCTGGTAAGAAATTTTCCCGGCAAAACTGAAGAACTTACAGTAGAATAAATTGCACCCATCTGCATGAAATGGCAGCGCGAATCATTTCCATGAGTGGAACATATAGGATTGCAATTTCTGACCGGAGATGGCAAAGAGTTTTAACCTTGACCTTGACCTTGGCAGCCAGAGGAGGCGAGGCGGGAATACCTGCGAGAGGGGGAAAAGGCGCTGGAGGCGTTCCGGTCGCATCTGAACTCCATGGACTCGTGGACGCTGGAGGCGGAATACCCCGAGGACGAGATCGCCGTCCGGTCCCAGTTCCAGCCGCATCTCGGCATCTACTTCATCTACACTGAGGTGGGTGGACGATTGCGGAATCGAGGTGATTTTCCTCCTCGTCTGGAGATCCGTGTTTGATGCAGTGGTGTCATCAACGATTCGGGGTGCGTGTGTTTTGGTGGTACTGGCTGTTTCGTTGGCTACCGCTTTAATTATATTTGAAGGCGAATGTATCTATATTCATTGCTGTCATTGACGAAATATATGGAAAGTAGAGATAGGCCGACTTCTTTCAACTTTTCTCCGTTTTATGCAAATTATTCTTTTTTTTCACAGCATCCTTTCCTTACCCTACTTGGCTTCTGTACCTCCCTGAAACAAATTGTACTCCTCGAATTTAATGAATGCTATAGTATAACATAGACATTGGACTCCTGAAGAGGAAAATTCAGTTCATGCTTACATCAATGTAGGCGCTGCTCAACTACAACTTCGAATGGGCATTTTGGAACACCTTGCCACCCCCAGGGCAGAATCTCGAGTGGTACAAGGACATCAGCCAGAACGAATTCATTCAGGTGCGTTCAACCTCTAATTCCGTCATATTTTATTGGTTTTTTGTACCATGAGAAAATGAAGGTTACAAAAATTAAACTGACGAATTTGCTTTTCATGGAAATGGTATTTTTAAATTTCATTAATATTTTCATGACCCCAGTGCACTTCTGAAATTAATGTGCCATAAATTGGAATGATGCTCTTCGAAATTATATCTGGAAAACATCCGCTAAAAAAGGAATTTCAGTCCCAAATATATTCAATAAAGACTAGAAAATGCGATATTCATATGCCTGGACCATGATAATCTGAATGCAGTAAACATTTGCTCAAAAAACGAGGTATATCCCATAACAACAGGAATTTGCTATCTAATATATATATATATATGTATAGAAATCAGGGTGCCGAGAGCGATGTTACAAATGTATCCAGATGGACAGGATACCAGGATCAAAAACAGAGAATGGTTGGGACTCGAACCCGTGACACAAGCGCCTAGCGGATTGCGAGTCCAACACTTCGGTCCCATTGTAGATCTTGGGACGGGAAGGAACCGTGTGGATTGCGAGCTCACATTGAAATACAGACTTTCCGAACCTGCTTTTTTGGGCAGGGGAGGTAGTCTAGTGGTTTCAGTGTTGGACTCGCAATCCGCTAGGCG